AGCTCTTCATTGAGAAGTTTCTGCCTATCATATTGAGAAAGGAGCATTGCCGTTAGTTTGAGCGTCTCCAGCAGGGCAGTATGACTGTTACTCAGTATGAGACCCGTTTGGATACCTTCATGCCATTCTTATGCTTCCCACCGAGAGAGAGAGGGTGAGGAGGTTTATTGATGGACTTGCGCAGCCTATCAAATTGCAGATGGCTAAGGAGACGGGGAGTGAGATTTCTTTTCTAGCGGCTGCTAATGTCGCCAGATGAGTCAAAATGGTTCTTACTCAGGGAGGTCAAGGGTCTGGCAAGAGACCTCGTTATTCCGGTGAGTTCAGCGGTGCCTCATCTAGAGCCAGGAGTACTTTTGGTAGAGGCCATTGTCCCAGGTCGTTTCATTCAGCGCTCCAGTCATCCCACGGTGCCTCAGGTAGTCGTGGCCCTCAAATATGTTATTCCGACCAGCTAGCCTATAGTACATCACCAACTCCTTTTAGTGAACCTCCACTCCATAGTTATCAAGGTGGTTATTCAGGTCGACAAGGTCAGTTTCAGGGTCAGCAGTCACAACAGCCGAGGTTAGGTTATACTTGTGGTGATCCGAAGCACATTGCTAGATTTTGCCCTCGGGCAACGGACAACTCACAACATCAGAGTTCTCGTGCTATGGTTCCGGCACCAGTTGCTGCACTACCTGCTCAGCCAGCCAGAGGCAGGGGTCAGGCAGTCAGAGGTAGGGGCTAGACAGTTATAGGTGGAGGTCAGGCCGTTAGAGGTGTAGACTAGCCAGCTAGAGGCCGTCCCAGGGACGTAGTTTAGGGTGGTGGGGCCAAACCCTGGTGTTATGCTTTCCTAGCCAGGCCTGAGGCTGAGTCATCTAACGCTGTTATCACAGGTACTATTTCAGTTTGCAGTAGAGATGCTTCAGTTCTATTTGATCCGAGATCTACTTACTCCTATGTGTCATCCTATTTTGCTTCGTATTTGGTTGTGTGCCTGTGATTCTTTGAGTGCTCCTGTGTATGTGTCCACACCAGTGGGAGATGCTATTGTTGTATATTGTGTTTATCGTTCGTGTGTGGTCAACATTGGGAGTCTTGAGACTCGTGTAGATCTTATACTTCTCGACATGGTTGATTTTGATGTCATACTGGGTATGGATTGGCTGTCACCTTATCATGCTATATTAAATTGTCACGCCAAGATGATGACCTTAGCCTTGCAGGGGTTTCCTCGATTAGAGTGGATAGGGAATCTTGGCCATTCTGCCAGCAAGGTTATCTCTTATGTGAAGGCTCGGCATATGGTCGAGTAGAGGTGTCTAGCTTATTTGGCTTATGTCCGTGATTCTAGTGCGGAGGTTCCTTCCATAGATTCGGTGCTGGTTGTTCGTGAGTTTCCAGAGGTGTTTCCTGCAGACCTGCCAGGAATGCCACCCGACAGGGATATTGATTTATGCATTGATTTGGCTCTGGGCACTCAGCCTCTTTCTATTCCGCCATATAGCATAGCCCCGCCAGAGTTGAAAGAATTGAAGGAGCAGTTGTAAGATTTACTTGATAAGGGCTTCATTAGACCTAGTGTCTCACCCTACGGTGCACCTCTGTTGTTTGTGAAGAAGAAAGATGGATCAATGAGAATGTGTATAGATTATCGGTAGTTGAACAAAGTCACCATCAAGAACAAATATCCATTGCCGATGATTGATAATTTATTTGATTAGCTTCAAGGTGCCAAGATATTTTCAATGATTGATTTGAGATCTGGCTACCATCAGTTGAGGATTAGGTCATCCGATGTTCTTGAGATAGCTTTTCGGACTCGGTATGGGCATTTTGAGTTTCTAGTGATGTCATTTGGGCTAACAAATGTCCCAACAACATTCATGGATTTGATGAACCGAGTGTTCAAACCCTACTTGGATTCCTTTGTGGTTGTGTTTATTGATGATATCTTGATCTAATCCTACAGTCGAGAGGAGCATAAGCAGCACCTTCAGATCGTTCTTCAGACTCTAAAAGATAGCTAGTTATATGCTAAATTCTCAAAATGTGAGTTTTGGTTGAGTTCAGATGCTTTCTTTGGTTACGTTGTATCAACAGGGGGTATTCAGGTGGATCCTAAGAAGATTGAGGCAGCCCATAACTAGCCTAGACCCATATCAGCTACAGAGATCCGTAGTTTCCAGGGTTTGGCGGGCTATTACTGTCAATTTGTGGAGGGGTTTTCATCCATATCAGCTCCGTTGACTAGATTGACCCAGAAGGGTGCCCCGTTCAGGTGGTCAGATGAGTGTGAAGCGAGCTTTCAGGAGCTTAAGATAGCTTTGACTACGACATCGGTATTGGTGTTACCCACAAGTTCAGGATCTTATACAGTATATTGTGACGCATCTCGTATTGGTCTGGGTGCAGTATTGATGCAGCGTGGCAAGGTTATTGCATATGCTTTACGGAAGCTCAAGGTTCACGAGAAGAATTACCATGTTCATGATCTAGTGCTGACAGCCATTGTTCACGCATTAAAGATTTGGAGGCACTATCTTTACGGCGTGCCATGTGAGGTAATTATTGATCATCGAAGCTTGCAGTATTTTTTCAAGCAGAAGGAACTCAATTTGAGGTAGAGAAGGTGGTTGGAGCTATTGAAAGACTATGATATCATCATATTGTATCATCCTGGGAAGGCCAACGTTGTGGCCGATACTTTGAGTAGAAAGTAAGTCAGTATATGTAGCCTTGCATATAGTCAGTATATTTGAGCGCATCAGAGATTCGCAGTATGACGATCCTTATTTACTTGTCCTTAGAGACACAGTGCGGCAAGGTGGTGCCAAGCAGGTTACTATTGCAGATGACGGAGTTTTGAGGATGCTTGGTCGTATTTGTGTGCCTAATGTGGATGGGCTTCATGAGTTGATCTTGGATGAGGCTCATAGTTCTCGATATTCTATTCACCCGGGCACTGCCAAGATGTACCAGGACATGCAGCAAAATTATTGGTGGAGGAGGATGAAGAAAGATATAGTTGCTTACATAGCTCGGCGCTTGAATTGTCAGCAGGTCAAATATGAGTATCATAGACCCGGTGGCTTGCTTCAGCAGATGGAGATTCCTGAGTGGAAGTGGGAGTGTATCACTATGGACTTTGTTGTTGGACTCCCACAGACTCAGAGGAAGTTCGACGCCGTGCGGGTTATAGTGGATACGTTGACTAAGTCAGTGCACTTCATTCATGTGGCAGTTACCTATTCCTCGGAGTAGTTAGAAGAGATTTATATTCAGGAGATCATTTGTCTTCACGGTGTGCCCGTGTCTATCATTTCTTATCGAGGTACATAGTTTACCTCGCACTTTTGGAGGGCAATTTGGCATGAGTTGGGTACACGGGTTGAGTTGAGCACAACATTTCATCCTCAGACGGATGGGCAGTCCGAGTGTACTATTTAGATCTTGGAGGATATGCTCCATGCTTGTGTTATAGACTTCGGAGGATCGTGGGATTAGTTCTTGCCCCCTACAGAGTTCGCCTACAATAACAGCTACAAGTCGAGCATTCAGATGGCTCCTTATGAGGCATTATATGGTAGGCGATGTCGGTCGCAAGTTGGGTGGTTCGAGCTGGGAGAGGCTTGGTTGTTGGGCACAGACTTAGTACAGGATGCCTTGGATAGGGTCAAGATTATTCAGGATCGACTTCGCACAGCTCAGTCCAGGCAGAAGAGTTATGCCGACCGTAGAGTTCGTGATGTTGTATTCATGGTCGGAGAGAGAGTGTTACTTCGGGTGTCACCCATGAAGGGTGTAATGAGGTTCGTAAAGAAGGGCAAGTTTATCCCTAGGTATATCCGAACTTTTGAGATTCTGGAGAGAGTGGGAGAGGTGGCTTACAGGCTTGCGTTACAACCTAGTTTAGCAGTTGTTCATCCGGTATTCCATGTGTCCATGCTTCGAAAGTATCACGATGATCCGTCCCATGTGTTAGATTTTAGCTCTGTCCAATTGGACAAGGATTTGACTTACGAGGAGGAGCCGATGGCAATTCTAGCCCGACAAGTTTGCCAGTTGATATCAAAGAGTTACCTTTCAGTTCGAGTGTAGTGGAGAGGTCAGCCTATTAAGGCAGCTACTTGGGAGTCTGAGTCCCATATGCGGAGTAGATATTCCCACCTTTTCACCAGCCCAGGTACTTTTCTATGTCCGTTTAAGGACGAACGATTGTTTTAGAGGTGAAGTATGTGATGACCCAAAAGGTCATCTTATGTTTTAGAACTCAAATATGCGCTCTTAAGCCTTAAAAATCTCATTTTTACCCTCCTCGATTTACGTGCATAGTCCGGGCAGGTTTCCGAAAAGCTTTTGTGTTGAAAACTAATGAAAATAAGAACTTTTGTCTTAAAAGTTGATATTAGTTGACTTCGGTCAACATATATGATAAACGGGCCCGGATCCGTGCTTTGACGGTCCCAGTAGGTCCGTATCAAATTATGGGACATGGGCGTATGCCCGAAATTGAATTCGGAGGTCCCTAGCTTGAGTTATGAATTTTTGATGAAAATTAAAAGTTTGAAAATTATTTATTTTTAAGAATTGATTGATATTTGGCATTGTTAGTATCGGGTCCGTATTTTGGTTCCAGACCCCGGTACAGGTTCATTATGATATTTAAGACTTGTCGGTGAAATTTGGTAAGAAACGAAGTTGATTTGACGTGATTCGGACGTCCAGTTGAGAAAATAGAAATTTTAAAGTGTTTTTAAGAATTTCATTCGATTTGGTGCTAAATTCGTAGCTCTAGGTGTTATTTTGGCGATTTGATCGCGCGATCACGTTCGTATGCTGTTTTTAGACTTGTGTGCATGTTTGGTTTGGAGCTCGGAGGGCTCGGGTGAGTTTCAGATAGGCTACGAGGTGATTTGCACTTACAAAATCTGAGATTTTTGCTGCAGCGGCTGTTATGGTGTGCCATTCTTTGCATTCGCGTAGGTGGTGTCGCGAACGCTAAAGGTAAAATGGGGGCAGGGGAATTTTCTTCTTCGCAAACGCGAAGGACTGGTCTCGAACGCGAAGCGTTGGGTGTGGTACCCTTTGTGAACGCGATCTGTCTTACGCAAATGCGATAGTTTAAGGGACCTGGGGGGGAGGGGGTCATGTTCTTCTACGCGAACGCGTCCATTGGGTTGCGAACGCGAAGTCTAGTGGGGAGCTGCCTTACGTGAACACGTAGAAAGACTCGCGAACGCGAAGGCCTTAGGCCGCTGTGTATCGCGGTCGTGACAGGCCTTTCGCGAACGCGATGAAGGCCTATCTAGTGACTTAAAACAGACTCCAAACACGGGTTTAAGCCATTTCTTCAACAATTTTCAAGAACCAAACGGGTAGAGGTGATTTTCAAGAGTCATTTTCTTCCCCAAAGTGTTGATAAGTGATTCTAAACCATTTTATTTCAATTACCCATTACATTTTATGAATTATCAACCTAAAATCTAGAGTTTTCATTGTAGAATTAGGGTTAGGGTAGAAACTAGGGATTTTAAAAATTTGAGGATTTAGACCCCAATTTGAGGTCGGATTCAAAAACTAATTACATATTCGGGCTCGTGGGTGAATGGGTAAAAGGATTTTGGTTCGAACCTCGGGTTTTGACCAAGCGGGCCCGGGGTCGATTTTTCAACTTTTTGGAGGAAAATTTGGGAAATTTAATTTATGAAATATAATTGATTCCTTTAGCAATATTTGATTTTATTGAGTCATTTTTGAATAGATACGAGTGGTTTGGAGGTGAATTCCAAATGAAAAGTTGTGATTGAGAATTAAGTGGCCTTCGGAGCAAGGTAAGTAGCGTGTCTACCTTTTGCTTGAGGGAATACGTATTATATGTTCATTTGCTATATGATTGGTTGTTAAATACGACATATAGGTGAGGTGACGAGCATCTATGCATCGTTGTCGAGTCATAGCATGCGAGTGAAATTCTATTCTTGACTATTTTATAGCTTTAAATTCTACTATCCATGCTTAGCGGGTTATTTGAAACGTTGGGTGACTCATATCTGGTTTCACTGAGATTTGGTAACTTTCGAATATTGATTCAAGGTTGAGATTACAATGTGCTACTGATTATGGGTGAAATACTAGTTTCTTTGTGATACTCTTATCTATCCGTTGTTATTGATTTTTTGATTGGTAAGGAGGAGTGTAAAGAACGAAGGGTGATACCGTGCATGTATTATTTATATTATGAGGAAGAGTGTAAAGCACGAACGTTGATGCCGTGTATATTATGAGAGGTTTAAATCACGAAAGGTGATGCCGTGTATATTATGAGAGGTTTAATGCAGGAAGGATGATGTCGCACCGATCTATTTATTTATTTGGTGAGGTCGAGAGTAAAAGCACAAAGGGTGATACCATGCAGTTTTCCTTGCTGTGTTAATTGCTCAATTCTTTTAAGGATTTTCGGTTTAATTCTGTCTTTTCATTATTCTCACTCTTTATGTTGTATTCCTCCATTGTATGTTCCCTTCCCATTATTTTTATGTTATTACTTTATTTACTGTTGTTTCCACTAGCATGATTATATTGTTCAGGTTATATGTGGGTGTCTTTTCCTAACCTCGTCACTACTTCGCCGAGGTTAGGCTCGACACGTTCTAGTACATAGGGTCGATTGTACTGATGCTGCACTCTGCACTTTCTGTGCAGATTTTGATACCGGCTCAGGTTGATCGAGATTTGCTATTGGCCCGCTGTCCGGAGACTCAAGGTAGATCTGTCGGCGTTCACAGACCTTGAAGTCCCCGCCTATCTTTGTCCTACTGTTTTCTTTCATTCAGACAGTTGTATTTCTTTCAGGCTATTACTTGTAGTAAATTCTAGAATGCTCGTGAATTGTGATTCCAGATCCGGGTGATAGTAATTAATACAGTTTTATAATATTCCGTACTTATTATATTTCATCTTAGTTAATTATTGTTATTTTCTGAATAGAAATAAGGAATTGGTTTAACAATTTTCTAACGTTGGCTTGCCTAACAAGTGAAATGTTAGGCGCCATCACGGTCCCGTAGGTGGGAAATTTTGGGTCGTGACATTTTGATGAATTTGGTGTAGTGATACTTGTTTGTGGATAACTAACTCTAGTTTTATGTATTAAATCGTTTTGGATGTTTTAACTGTTGCATCTATATTCACTTGTTAATGTAATCGAGAGAGGCATAACTTGTGATATTGTTGCATTATATTTTGTTGGTTGAAGTCATTAATTCTTCTTAGTAATCGGAAGAGGCTAGTTGAATTGTTGATTAAACTTAGTTAGGAGGATAATTGAGAGAGGTTCTCCAAAATACCAATCCACTACGAATTCTTGCATATCTTCACGTGCTTAAAATTGGTTCATCTAGTGAGGTTGAGGCTTAATCTAGAGAGGAATTTCTACGAATCAATTGAACTAATAATAAAGTGAATTCGAGAGACTCACTTGAATATTAAAAGTTAATTATCTATATTTAAATACCAAACATTTATCTTGCACCTATCCTATCGACCCTATCTTCTCGCAATTGATAACTTCCTTTGCTTAATACTTGCGTTGATTGTCATTAGCCAATAGAATAGATTCTTAGTTAAATTTAGTTTTAATCACATAACCCTAAATTGTTGATCACCTTGGATAGCAATCTAGCTACAAACTACGATAATACTGTTTAACTCCAATCCATGTGGATACGATATTTTAATTTACTATATTCGACTAGCGAGCATGGTTTAGTGTATATTTTGCGCTCGCCAAATTTTGTATCACTCAGAAGTGGTATACATGGATTTTCCACAGGGATTTCAGAGACAGGGGGAGCGCAAGAAGGTTTGCACGCTATTGAAATCATTATATGGGTTCAAGCAGGCATCTTGACAGTGAAACTTAAAGCTTACTCAAGTCCTGTTACATGTAGGTTTCACACCTAGTAAGTTTGATTATTCCCTGTTCACTAAGAAGGTTGGACATGATATTGTGGTGATATTGATCTATGTAGACGATTTGTTACTTACTGGTAGCAATCTTGAGTTGATCAAAGAGGCCAAACATTCATTGCATCAACAGTTTAAAGTCAAAGATTTGGGTGAACTAAGGTACTTCCTTGGCATTGAAGTGTTGAGGTCCAAACATGGTGTCCTACTCAATCAAAGGAAATACACTCTAGAGTTGATCTCAGAACTAGGTCTTAGCGGAGCTAAGCCAGTAGTAACTCCTCTAGAAATCAATCAAAAATTGACCACATTGGAGTTTGATAAAGTGGCATGCTGGTCATCTACTGTTGATCCTTTGGTAGATCTTACCAGCTATCAGAAGCTTATTGGCAAGGTTTTGTACTTGACAGTTACCCGGCCTGAGATATCCTTTGTTTTCCAGAGTCAGAGCCAATTCATGCAGGCTCCTAAAAGGTTCCCTATGGAGTCAACTCTTAGGGTGGTTAGATATCTCAAAAATGCAATAGGTTTTGGCATTCTCCTGAAGATATCACCTATGCATTCTCTTACTGCATTCTGTGATTCAAATTGGGGTGCTTTCCCTGTCACTAGAAGATCTGTTAGTGTCTACCTAGTCAAACTTGGGGACTCTTTGATCTCTTGGAAGTCTAAGAAGCAACACACCATATCTAGGAGCAATGCAGAAGTTGAGTATAGAAGTATGGCCACTGTTGTTGTTGAGCTCACTTGGTTACTGTGACTTTTTGCAGAGTGAGCTGTGCATGTTCTTCGACCTGTTACTCTCTATTGTGATAACAAGGCTGCTATGCGGATTGTTGCCAATCCTATATTCCATGAGCGCACTAAACATATTGAAATTGACTGTCATTTTGTTCGAGATCAGTTGGCTGATCTACTTACTAAGAGGTTAACTTCTGGGCAACATCATTTGTTATTAAGCAAGTTGAGTTTACTGAATATACTTCATCCTCTAGATTGAGGGGGAGTATTGAAGTATATCATGTTAGATTAGTTTTGGGGTCAATCTATAAATAACGCAAAGTTGGAGTCTTTTATAATTATTGTTAGTGTAGGCCAGTTAGTTAGTTAGTGGAGGTGTATATTACAGCATCTACACCTCTGTACAATTCTTTCAGTTAATGCCATAAGTGAAAATTCCTAATTTTGCTTGCCTACTTCGCTTTTCTTCTTCATTTCCATGGCTAATTCAAACATTTTGGTCTAGATATTTGCCTTGTAAAACATAACTCTCTCTTTATTGTTTCATCTTTTAAGATATATTTTCCTATTCACATTGCGATATCTGATTTCACATGACAAATATCATAATAATATTGATAGGCTTTTATACCATTTTAAATTAAATATCCCTTCACAAACCATTATATTAACCGAGATTCATACTATACATAGCTTAATAAATATTATTCTTTCGTGAAGATTGGTATTTTGTTACAATCTTTCGCTTATAGCCGTCAATATGAGCCATTCGAAATCAATAACTCTACATATTATCTAAGTCTTCATTTTGAACGCAATCACGTTCTGCACTGAGAGAAAATACACAAAAGATTAAGTGCATTCAAAGAGTGAATTTGCGAGCAAACACTGTGCAGTGTTCTGAAGCTTTAACGTGACTAATGAACCAGACGGTGAACTTGTACCTTACCAGTGTGCCGTGTCGATTATTTTCAAATTTTAGTTCTTTGTTGTAAAGTTATTCTTGAGTTGTACCTTTTTTATGCTTATGTAGAAACTTTGTTTAGGTATTCTCTTTTGGGAGATTTTTATACTCAAATTGGAATTAACGTTGTTTACCCTTAAAACGGATAATAATTGAATTTATGCACGGTTTTAAGGATATGTGGATTAATTCAACACAAATAATCAAGAATGTTTGATAAACGAGTTAAATATAAAATGAATAACCAAACCAATTATTATGTTACGTCCGAGCTCGAATTTGCGTTGAACAGTGATTTTGCCCTCGACTGAACCCTTGGTTCGAAGCTAGATATCTATGAAGAACAACAATTAAATAAGAAATTTTCAATAACTACAAAGCAGAGAAATAAGTTTGTAGTGCCTTCATATGCGTGTTGCAATGTCTTATCAAAGAAAAAACTTCCCCTTTATATAGTAGGAGAGTTAACCCCTAGTATAAATCTAGAAAAGGTAAAACTCCCCCTCTCTCGTTAATTACTAATTTGTAACCGCCATTGAGCGAGATCCGCACAGTGATATCCGGTTGGTCCTGGATATCACGACCCTTTATCCGTCGCCTACAACTGTTCTTCCCGGAGTCTCAGAACTCATTCCGGGCCCGGGGTGAGTTGTTTGATCAAGTCTGATGGCGAGCATTCCGTTCGGGCCTTGGTACAAGAAGTTCTCAGCTTCAATTTCGATTCGTGTATTCATATCCTTGCTTCCTTTTGACCCACCGAAAACTCAGGGTGTATGTTGCCCCAGGTTCTACTAGTATACAGATAGTACCCTCGTTTCCCAGAGAGTAGGTTTGCCTAAACTATGGGAAACGATAGATGAACCCCGGTTCCTTCTTCGCACGTTACAACCAAGATGACGGATAAGCCAAAACGTCCCATCAGTCACGATGTTCTGACTTTGGACACGTGTTGATCATCAGCTGATTGTTTTTGAATGTGAAACATCGCATATTAATTACATTTCCCCCTATAAAAGCTTCGACCCTGTTCACTTCTTTTACTTTCTGATCCCAGCTCTTACCTTTGACTTTATAAAGGCTTTCAACTTTCTCAAATCTTCATACCTAACTTCTTGAACCTTTACATATTCATCTTTAATCTTCAAACCTTCGTGTTTGTTTCTTGGATTTTTAACCCAGAACTTCATATCTTCATATCTTCACTTATTACCTTCAAATCTTCATACGCCTTCTTCAAATCTTCATATACTTTCCCAGATTTACGATGGCCAAAACTTCCAAGTCTGTACCACAACAAACGACCCCTTCTACTTCCCACTCGGCCGCATAAGTTGAGGTAGATGTCCCTGAGGTGCTTCCAGAGCCTCCTATGAAAATCTTCATACCTGGGGGCTATTCTATCAGGGACGATCTCAAGGTCGAGAAGGCCTCCATCAAACAAGACCGAGGTGAAGGATCATGGAGATACATATGCTCAATCACTAAGGATACCATTCCCATAGTCTGAGAGGACTGCAAATGGGAAGGCAAAGACGTGGTTTTTCTTTGGCCTAAGGATGATATCATTACCTAGGTGGATGGGTATTTAAATGTTTACACTTACCCCTTCATGTTGGCCCCGGTAGACCCAGTAATACTGGCCTTTTGGAAGAGGTACGAGGTGTGCCTCGGGAAAATCAACTCGTCCCGGGCCTTTTGCAAGAGGTATGCCATTTTGTGAACAACACTAAATCTCCTCGATTCACCCTCGACCACCTACCTCGTCTGTACAATCCTTGAATTTTCCGAGGGGGACTAATCAAGCTTGTTTGTAAAGCTAGCAAGGCCCCTTTTTCCAGCATCGACGAAGGTCGAGACCAAGTTGGCAATTGCATTTTGTTCGGGTAAAGAATGAAGACCTGATCCCTCTCGAGTTACTGCCATTCCCCGAGAAGTGGAAGACATCTCGTAAGTGTAGTCTTTCTTTAGGTGTCAATTTCCCTTCATTTTTTCTCTCATCGCCAGTATTTATGGTCGTGCAGTTGTTACTCAGGTTCCTAATGTGGTCCCCCGACTCAAGGAGTGGATCAAAGGGATCTGCCAACAGATGTCATACTACGAGCGCACGTGGCGCAAACCTTTGAAGAGCAAATGGAAGGCCCGTTCTCATGGTATGGCTCTTCCCTAAATAGTTATTACTACACACCCATGCTTACACGATGTTGACCTTCTCTTTTTCTTTATAGATTTTCCTAAGACCACCAAACTTAGGCTCGGGACAACCCCGGGCTACCGTGGAGGAGAAGCAAAGGAAAAGAAAGTCCTCGTATTCCTCGAATCTCGAGTTGAAGATAAAAAAAGGAAGCTACCTAGGCTCGTATGCCTAAGAAGAATACTAAGTCTAGGGTACTGGACTCCGACTTGCTTCACCAGCTCATGGATGAGCCTGAAGAAGATGTCATCTTTGTCACCCGTGGATCGACCCCTGCTGGGGAGTAGGTGGCAACCGAGGAAAGCAGCCATGAGGCTGATCCCCTTCCGACTCGAGAGGCCGAAGTGGACTGTGAACTCCTGAGAAGTCATTTCTATTCCAAAGGAGGCTACCGGTGTGATACACATCTCTACTCCTTCTTTAATGTAATGGACATGTCCACATTGGAAGATTTCTCTGGGCTGGGTCACCTGGAGATACCGAAAAAGGACGTGCCTTCGGGAGCTGACGGGCCTAGTACGAAACTAAGATTGGTGAAGTAATTCCTTGCACCGAGCGTGGACCCCGAGCGCAAGAGGACGGTTGTTCTCACACTCTTGGAGGATCCCCAGATTCTGTCTGCTCTGGTTGGGGTAGCCAGCTACCTTTGATGTCTGGCGACCGAGGAGGACCAGGCAAAGTTGAACGAGGTAGGCACGTCAAGTCTTTTTAATGACGCACAACAGGCGCTGAACCGGGTAAGATTCTTACACTTTTATACTCCCTTCATGAATCCTGCTTAAGTTTTCCCTTGATGTCCCTTACTAGTTCCACTATTTTACAGGTTTCAGTGCTCCATCATGAATTCTTCCTCTGGTACCGCTTGGAAACCAGCCAGCTCGAGTTCAAGCTCAAAGAATAGGTCCAAAAGAAGGACATGCACATGCTTCTCAATAAGAAATAGGATAAGGCCCTTAAAGACCTCCAGGGCGAGCTGGACAAAGTTCAGAAGGAGGCCTCGATCATAAAATGAGAACATGCCGACCTGGTTGAAAAGATAAAGATCTTTGAAGCTAAAACTAAGAAGTTAGTCATGGTGACTAACAACAAAACATTGCAGGTCCAACAGAAGGTCTACCTGATCAACCAACTCCGAGCCGAGTGAACGAGGTCAAGGCCATGGCAGAAGTGTGGAAGGTCATGATGGACCTTCTGGCTTCAGAGAAGGAAACTGCTAAGGCGGAGTTGGTGTTATATGAGAGCCAACTATGGGTGGCAAAGGACAAAGCTGACAAGTGGTCTCAGTTGAATGATGATCTCCGAGCACATATGAGCTCGGCTGTGACAGAGCGGGATGCCTTCGGAAGAGAATATGAGGCATTGTAGTCCAAATTGGACACAACCTCTACTAATGACGAGGAAATGGTGGCTCGGTACAAGGCTGGTGTGGAGGCAGCCGAGACCTGCCTAAAGACGAAGGCTGAAGACATGAAGCGGTTATCCCGAAGGGAGACCCACAAAGAGATCCATGCCTGAGGCTTCAATTTATCGTCCAAGATCGAGGAAGCTAAGAAGATTGAGGCCGAGGAAAATGAGCTTTACGAGACTAAGGGTGCCGAAGACTCCAAGGGATCTAAGAACTCCAACAGTTCTAGTGACGAGTCAGGCCCCGGTGAAGACCAGGCGTAGATGCCTTAGTACCCATTTTGCTTTCCCTCAGGTATATTCGTTTTTGTTTATTTTGAGGCCATTTTTATTGGGCCTTTGTAAATATATTTCGGAATATACATGAAATTTTCCCTTTCTGGCAATATCGTGTCTTTACTTTTCCAACATCTTTTTATAATTTCTATTCATGTAATATTTTTGATGCCTTAAAATAGAA